TGCAGACCATGAAGTTGGATACGTATGTGTCATTCTTTCTGGTGTAGGGCTGAAAAAAATAACCGCAGCTCCTTCAACTATTTGAATTCTCTTGTCCTTGCCACTTTTGACCATTTCTAATACCGTCATATTTCTCCCTCCTATTGCAGGCATGAATTACAGTGTTCGAATCGAAATATGTATATATAAAGTTACACTGTGACAGCTGTCTCAGAGAGAAATTTCAGTAATGTTTTATCTGCATGTCTTCTGTCTAGGAAAGTGGCAGATTGAGTTTTATATACATATATACATAAGCACTAGGGTTTTCATCTTATACAAGCTTGTTTTGCACTTCCAGTCTGTTTCATTCGAAATCACGTAACTTCTGCAAGCGGAAACAGGTCAATAATTTCCGGTTAACTCGGCCTGAGAAGTTAGGCCTCAAAAGTCCTTGTTGTCTACTTTGCCGTAAGTCAACATCGATACAACGAGGAAGTCGGTGGACTCCCGCCTGGCCGGATCGACCACTCTCGGCGTGTCACTTTGTAAACAGTGCATCATTACGCGTCAGTCCGGAGGAATGCCGTTGCTCTGGTCGTTCCTGGCTCTTACCATTGACGATCACCGTCATCGACACGTGGTTCGCCTCTTCGACGACTGGAACTCGAATCCGTCAAAGAGGGAACGGACCACCACCGCCTTAGATTGTGTACATAGCCAAAAACAACGGTCACTGGTTGGTACTAGGTTATACGAACACCGTTTACGCATAGCATAAAGCAGTGGAGTGCAGAAACGTCAACAACGCTATAAAACCATGCTGTCCTAAAAAGCGAACTTTGCTGAAGATCAGGCTTGCCAGAGAAAGTGAATACATTCGAAGGGCATAGAACGAGTAGGCATTTACGGAATAAGTGGCATTGCCTGATACATTTTATAAAAATACAATAAACTACAGTAGAAGCTGTTGCTAAAGTGATCTTCAGCCATCATATAATGATCATTTATTTCCTTTTCGTTCACAGCTACGATACAATTTTTAAATGTTTTTTCAATATCTGATATGCGTCTTCGCCCTAATATGTGGAACACCATATGTTAGGCATCATCAGAAAAAATTAGGGAGAAAGACGGAGGGGCAGAGGAGAAAACTGGGTTCATAAAGCGACTGTTGAGGCAAAGGACAGGACAGATATCGATTGGTTCTCAATGTGTCTATGTATGTATGCCAGGGGGTATGTATACATGTATGTATCGATTGGTCCTCTATGTGTCTAGGTTAAAACACTGGTGGTGGTGACACAAAATTTGCAAACAACATCGTACGACGGTTTGAACAGATCCGGTGATGGCCACTGATCTGAAAACAGAGTGGCAGCTTTTTAAGAGAAACGTACTCGAGGCTGCCGTCGAATACTGAGGATTCAAACGGGTTGAGCTGCTGCCTGGAGGTCAGAAAAGATCTTCCTGGCTTGTGGACACGAGAGGTGCAACCGGCAGTTAAAGGGAACAAGGCTGATTCAAGGAATGGTGGTTGGTGAAACCGAAAGAATCAAGAAACCATTAGAATTGATTGACCACTAATATGAAGACCACAAATAAGTTATTAAGTTAATCGACTTCTCGTAGGAAGCAGCCCAGATTAGAAAATATTCGCGAGGCCTTCGAATGGTGGATTTTTAGCAAAATTTCATATTTTCTCATTTAAAGCTACTTGGATTGTTTCGCAGTCTTATTAACGAATTAACTTTTACTAAGATATAGTTTAATGTACCGCATACTATTACCATGGTCATTAATTTTAAATTAACATAACATGTAACAACCTTAACTGCGTGTAGGAAGAGGTTCATATCGATACTAAGCTAAAACGATCCGGATCAGAAGACGCATTATCATTGAGACCGTCTCAGTCCCCTTTTGTTCCACATGGCACTGAACCTGTACAATAAGCCGTTAAATTAAGCCCTAAGTTATTTACAAAAGAAGCAGTGAGTTGAAACTCTTCAGGAGTTTGACCAATTTAAATGCCTCAGCTCCATCATCTCTCTCAATAGAGCCATCCAGCCACCGGAAAATAGAAATATCACATCTTCGAGTGCTTTTGAAAATTTGCCTAATAACTCTGCTGTAAAAAGAGTTATTCTTCTGTTTGAAATTAATCCTACTTTATTTATGTTAGGCGAGTATCTTGTTCGGTATGAAGACAGTTGTCCTAACGACGGTCGAACTGCAGCAGCAGCGTAGGCTTAGACGCATAATGAGGGCTAAATGGCAGACCACATGAGGAATGACTCCGTTCTGGCAGGTCAGGCACAGGTGACCTCGATAAATGTAGAGGTTAAAAAATGAACGATGGCCCTATTAGACCAGCACTTTGTGCATAAACTATTTACTTTAGCCTATGAGCTTCCCGTGTGGGAGCTGAGGCATAGCAAATATCGACCAGGAGGCCGATAAAGGAGGCAACATTGAGGAACAAGACAGAGGCTTTTCCAAAGAAACATTTCCCTTTACAATGGAGTAATTAACTTTTCATGGCAATAATACTGCTGAAGCTGGGAACGCGGAGGATATCACAAACCAGTGATTATCTTCTGATGCAAAGGATGAAGCTGGTTTTCTCAATAAATACAATAATATGCATACAGTAGGATATTAAACAGATCAGGATCGGGCTGCGTTACCGAGAATAGGAACAATCTGAAGATCTGTCAACTCTTCTGCATTAATGAACTGAAACTGTACGTCAGAAGTGGAAAAGAATCGAAATGTATGTTGGAGCTGGTATGAAAATTTTGCCCGTCAATCAAAATCGAACTCTGCCTAGATTAACGTGGAAGCCGGCATCTCGAGGAATTTAGAGAGCATGGTTCCCAGTCATCTTAAAAAATATCTGGAACCACA